AGAGAGAGAGAGAGAGAGAGAGAGAGAGAGAGAGAGAGAGATAGAGAGAAGAGAGAGAGATCGAGAGGAGAGACGGAAATGAAATTGCTGGGAGCGACAGGCGAGCAGCCGCCCACTACGATGGTGAGATGCTTCCTCGGAGAGGACGTCTCTCGGCAGGATTCGCGAATCCATGTCATCGACAGTGCTAGTCCTGTGCCGCGCGTAACACTTAGCGACGCACGTTTCTCGCCAAATGAAGACAATTTTGCAGTTGCGCTTATTTTCAGCACCGTCTCGCAATATTTTTTTCGAAATCGCCCCGTGGTCGGTTGTTAGTAGTCTTGACAGTAAGCGGGGTTGTATGCAATGCAGTTCTCGACGGACCCTTGTGTATAGTGTCTTCGAAGTATTGTGGCAGTATAGTATAGTGGTCGTGTAGCAGCCAGAGCAGCAGAAGCAGCAGCACAGACAGCAGCAGAGTAGCAGCAGTAGTAGCAGCCAGCAGCAGTACAGCCGCCAGCAGCAGTTCACTGGCCAGCAGTAGCAGCAGCAGTGCCGGCGCAGCAGTAGCAGTAGCAGCAGCAGCAGCAGCAGTAGCAGCAGCAGCAGTCTAGCAGCGCAAACAAGCAGCAGTAGCACTGGCAGCAAAGTTAGCAGCAGCTTAGTGCGACAGCCAGCCGGATAGCAGTAGCACGCTAGCAGCAGCAGTAGTAGCAGCCAGCAGCAGTAGCAGACAACCCGCAGGCAGCAGTAGCACTGGCAGCAGTTTTAGCCAGCAGCGCCGGGCAGCTGCAGTAGCCGTAGCCCAGCAGCAGCAGTAGCAGCAGCAAACAGCAGCAGCGTCGCGCGCAGTAGCAGCAGGGCAGCAGTGGCAGCAGCTAGCGCAGGCAGCAGCAGCAGTTAGCAGCCGTAGATAGCAGCAGCAGCGCAGCAGCACGTAGGAGCGAGAAGGGGGATAGAGAGAGAGAGAGAGGAAAGAGTGCGAGCGAGAGAGAGAAAGACAGAGGAGGAGTGAGAGACAAAGAGGACAGCGCCTGCGCGCAGAGAGAGGAGAGACGACGAGAGAGAGAGAGAGAGCAGAGACGAGAGAGAGAGAGAGCGAAAGCAAGAGCGAGCGAGAAAGAGAGAAAGAGTGTGAGCGAGAGAGTAGGAAAGAGAGAGCAAGAGAGAGAGTGAGAGACAGAGAGAGAAAACAAGACAGAGAGAGAAAACAAGAGCGAGAGAGAGAGAGAGAGAGAAAAATGCCTCGTCACGTCCGTCAGAAGCAATCACGCACCGACCCACTTCCACGCTCACGCGCCATGGCACGAGAGCGCGGCTGCCGTGGCAACAGATGTTTCATAGCAGGCCCCCGCGCAGCGTGCGTGTGTGCGAGTGGCGGCTTCATTAGAAGATTAAACGTTTGAGGATGGACGGTGCGTCCGCGCGAGCCCGCCGCAGTCTCTTCACGCTCGCTCCGATATCAAGTTAAACGTTTGAGGGAGGCTTTTGCGGGATGACCGCGCGCGACGTGACTCGACTCTCGACTCTCTCCCCCTGTGCGCGCGCGCTCGCTCATCGACACTTATCTCCGAGGGCATGCCAACTGCTTCCGTCTCTCGGCAGGGGTTAATAATGACAATAATAATAATTTTTTAATGACAAATTTGTCATTATTAACCTCTGATATCGGTAGAGATCGCGTGGATTCTGTGGGCGGCGTGTTGGTGGGTAGCTCGCCGTGGTGTGGAGACGTCGCAGACTCTCGCCTCTTATGTATCTTGGTCACCCTGGTGCGTGCGGTGGATGTTCCGGTCTGAGCTAGCGTTGGCTTCTCCTCGTCTTGCAGGGGCTGGTACCTGCTGAAGAAGGTGCATTTTGCCATCCTCATCGGACAGGGAGCACTCAACTTCTTTGTGATCATGTGCTTTGCGATCGCCACGTTCATGGATCCGGGAGTGATCCCGAAAGGTGAGAGGGCAGGGGTCGGGCTGTCGGGATACCCGGGATCACGTCGTCGGTCAGATGGAGACCCTGACTTCTTCCCGCCTCCTGCATTCATTGCATTGGTAACCGAGTATAAACTGAAGCCTGGAAGCCCTATGCTGCACCTCCCACTCGCATCCCTGCACCTTTTACATCGGTTACCAAGTGTACACCATGCCCTGCCTTTTCCTGCACTTGTTGCATTGGTAACTGATCATAAAATGAAACCCTTAAATTGACTACGTCACGAATTTTCTAGGTAAAAATTAAAATTTTGTTGCCATTTTTTTACACTAAAAGTAAGAACTAACGGGACTAAACGTATCGTCAAATTCTTACCTGATAAGATTGTTTCTCAACTAGTTAAAAATCCAAAAAACCTGGACGATTTGATATTAGTGTTCCTGACATTAATTGCTTGCTATAGGCTATGTATGTGTCACGAGCAGAAGCCCCGAAACTGTACGATACAGCTGAATCACGTCCCTGCCTCATTGCATCGCCCGATAATCATGAACTCTGATGAGTACTGACTTCCTATGCTGTAGCGCAGACTCCTTCACTTCCTTCATCGTAAACTGAAGCCCTGAACCCTAAGCTGCAGCCCAGACTCCTTCACCTCGTCCACTGAAAACAAGATCTGAAGACCTGCGACGCTGCTCTAACTCCTCTCTCACTTCCTTCTACATTCAAAACGGAAGCCCTTAACCTCTACAGCATGGCTCGCACCCTCCTCCCTGCCTCCTACATTGACAAGAGAAGCTCTGAAGACGTTCATCCTGGCTTTAACCTCCTCCTCATCTTCTATATTGCGATGTGAAGCACCGAAGCCATACGGAATGGCTCTAACCTTCCTCCCTGCCTCCTACATTGACAACTGAAGCTCTAAAAACCTTTGACTTGGCTCTGACTTCTCTCCCCGACCTATATTAACAAATGACGCCCTAGGGAATGGCTCTCACGCTCCTCCCTGCCTCCCGTGTTACAGCGGAGAATGAGGATAAGGACGATGACTTTCGCGCGCCGCTCTACAAGAACGTGGAGATCAACGGCATCACGGTGCGCATGAAGTGGTGCACGACGTGTCAGTTCTACCGGCCGCCGCGCTGCTCTCACTGCAGCGTCTGTAACACCTGCATAGAGGTGAGTATGTGCGTGCGTGCATGCGTGCGTGCGTGCGTGCATGCATGTAACGACGTGTCAGTTCTACCGGCCGCCGCGCTGCTCTCACTGCAGTGTCTGTAACACTTGCATAGAGGTGAGTATGCGTGCATGCGTGTGCGTGTGTGCGTGCGTGCGTGCGTGCGTGCGTGCGTGCGTGCGTGCGTGCGTGTGTGCTTGAGTGTGTGTAACGACGTGTCAGTTCTACCGGCCGCCACGCTGCTCTCACTGCAGCGTCGCTGTAGATTGATTATTAGTATTTATACTGAGAGGGGAGAGAGAAAAAGAGAGAAGAGAGAGATAGACAAACAGAGAGAGAATGAGACAAACAGAGAGAGAATGAGACAAACAGAGAGAGAATGTGACAGAGAGAGAGTGAGAGAGAGAGAGAGAGAGAGAGAGAGACCGAAGACAGAGAGAGGAGAGAGAGAGAGAGAGAGAGAACAACAGAGAGAGAGAGAGAGAGAACAACGAGAGAGAGAGAGAGAGAGA